AGCATTCATATTTTTACATTTTAAATGCCTTGAAGGTCTGGGTGGTGTTGTTGGAGCTTTACATGTGATAGGATAGTGATAAAACAGGAATAGCAAATAAAGATAAGAAAAATCAGCAAATCAGCTATGCTTAGGTTTGTTTTCCACATTAAATTAGACTCATCAACAAGTAATATGAGAGCAGAAATGAACCCTTATCCAACAGGAGAACTTATGAAGTCATTAATTAGGTTAGATCTACCATACAGAATTTAAGTAAACAAAAGAGCATTGCAGTAAACACTGCAGGAGTATTCAAACCACGAGAGCCTTCACACTTTCTATCAAATCCACCTTTATAGAATACAATTAACAACAAATTACTTTCTTATTGGATAACTAAAAGCTCTCTAGAATTGGCAGAATGAGGACCAGGATTTAAGTAAGCCTTCTTATGTTAAGTTGGTGAGAAAGCAAACCCAAGAAATTTAATGCAAAGAGCTTTTAATCATGAGTTTCTCATGATGACTTTATAAATGCTGAAGATTCACCATGTTGAAGTCAATTTGCTGCTTTGCATGCCAGTTATTTCCAGGGACAGGTTTGCCAAACTGTACAAGCTCTTTTAGTGACAGTTTATATTTCAGGGTACAAAACCAGTCCCTGGATTGTGCATGTTAATGTGCTGGTACTGACAAAAGCAGTCTGGTAACACTGACTCAGAATCACACAAGTTCAGCAGTGAGGGACAGTATTGGCAAGAGGGGTTAAAAGGAAGTACAACCCAAATAACCAAACAACTCAAATAATTTTCACTTGAGTTGTGAATCCCAGGGACACAGTCCCATTACAGCACAACAAAACCAACAAAAATATGTAGGAATCTGGGACTGGGTAAATTTTGAACTGGTTAATCAGCCCTCTCCCTAACAAACATGCCTCAAGAAATGTGAAGAATTCTACAACTTGGATTGTCACCCTATGGACAGAAAGGCTTCTCTGCAATTTCTTTTGTACTATTAAAATAGAAAACAGAAACCAAAAAGAGCCACAAAATCTTAATCATCTAGTGGGAAGTCTGCTGCAAATGTATGTCATACAGGCAATTAAATTTTTATGCTACGATACGTACACAAAAGACAGATGAAACTATTGCTATAGTTTACTCCCATAGAGGTGTCTTGCAAATATGATGATGAAATATTTTAAGGAGAAAGGCAATGTGCTCTTGGATGACCCTGCTTGGCAGGAAAGTTGGACCAGATGAACCACAGTGGTCCCTTTCTCCCTTACCCATTCTGTAATCCTCTGTAGTAAGTCCTGGTTAATTTGGTGGTGAAGAGGCTTAAGGCGATACACAGAAAACATTATTTTTATATAAACATTTACATAAATACACACATGTCAAATTATGTTTTTTGTTGTCCATGTGTTGGGTGTATTTTAAGCTTAATGAGTGCCAAGGTTGCTGCAGACAACAGTAAATTGCTTAATTGCTTTTGCTTTATGTAAAGTTGTTCTTTTTCTTGGGCAACTTACTGTCAAAATATGCTGAACACTACCAGTTCTGTATTGAAGAGTTGAATAATATTTACCTAACACTCTACTGTCAGGTCTTGCTAATACAATCAAGAGGCTGTGCAAAGATTATTAAGCAATAATTCAGTTTTAGATATTCTGAACCTGATGCGTTTAAGTCTCCGTTGAAGCAGAGAGAGTCTGGAAAGCATTTTTGACAATGCTTTGGGTTAAATTCTCAGTCATTCCAGTGCATAAGAAGCAGCTGAGGACCTGTATATACACATGTATTATATACTGCATAAAAGATATCTTACAAGGATGTATATTGTTTCAAGCGTTGGAAAACAGAGATCTACTGTAAGATGATGTACAAATTTAAAAGCAAAGTTAAAAGCTCTGCAAACTATTTACAGTGATAACAAGAAACTTGCAACAATGAAGTAGTCACCTAAGTACTTTTGAAGGAACAACTAAGACCACTGCTCATGGAAACCAAAATATACTCTTTATTGACTTAAGGATCACCAAAAAAAAAAAACATATAAAGACATCATTTTATGAATTGTTTTCCTATTGAATTACCATATATAAATATTGAAAAATAAAATAATATCAGAAGAGTAATATACTTAACCATGGTGACCAAGGGGAACAATGTAAAAAGTATTCAATGCAAGTTGTATACCCCAGCAAGAGAATAACTATCGTCCCTGTTCAGCTTCTGGTCAAAAATAAAGATTGATTAGATGAAATTAATTTTTCCACAAATAACATTCTTCGTGGATTTTTCTGGATTATGATGATAGTAAACTACAGAGTACGTGGTCTCCTTTAGCAGTTAAAGCTGACTAAAAATCAGCTGAACAGACATATGTTACAAATAAGACCACGTTATTTGTCTCTGTTGAGTGTCAACCCTAATATCATTCAAAAAAAGGTTTCAGCTGTGATTTACAGTTTTGTTACCCAAAAGTCTAGGAAGCACTCTTTCTCAATGTCAGGTAGGTATGAATGCAATCTGTAGCTTGTACACATGAAGTTTTGTACACAGTGAAGTTTTGGTTTGAGTGCAGAATAAAAGTCCAAATTTAAAAGTGATTCCAGTAAAATTCCTCTTCATTCATTACTTTAAAGAAACAGAGGCAGTATTTTGCCTTTGGCCCACAGCATACTTAACCCAGCCCTTCCAGCAGCAAAGCATACTCTCACTTTGCATGGAGAATGCTGCAGACTGTGGAGATGCTCCTCTCTTCATTTCCAACCTCTGATAGAGCCATGCCTACCTCAGAGACAAAGATCTACGTTTTTAAAATATGTTTCAAAAGGCTGCAAAATGCAGTGTCTGCTAGCAGCAGTAATATTTGGGTGAAACCTCCAAATTCCTTGTGTGGGGCTTCATCTGGGGTGCATTCATAGGTGTAATTAACAAGTCTCTACAGTCTTCATCTCAAGAAATACGAAATACCACAGACACCATTAGCTTTATTAACACCTGTAGATTTACTAGCTATTTTGTATCATCCTCAAAGCTGGTAGCATTTGCTATCAATAGCTGTAGGATTCATAATGACCTGAAAAAAAACCAGCTGCAGCTCTGCTTGGGACCTACAGCCCTTTGCAGGTACAAAACCTTTGTAAATCTGAAGCTACCAAGGGACCATATAATTGAAGCTAAGGGTAATAATTCCTTGGATGAAAGAGGCCAGAGGCATAACTTCACAAAAATAAGGCAAATACTTAAGAACTGTAACTATTACTCTATGTTAGTTATTAGACAAACAAATCCTTTTCGTGGCAAGAAACATCTAAAATGACCTCATTATTACCTATCAAGAAATGAAGAGGTTCTTTTGAGATTCAAAGGCAAAAGACCTTTCAGCTTTTATGCCCCAAAACTATTCCTGGCAGGTAAAGCAGGTGGAAGAGCATCACTGTGAGATGAACTGTGACTATGTGCTAAGAGTCATTCATCTTCTATCACAGCAGCTGCAGTTTTCAGAAAGCTTTTAGCAAAAATCCCTCATAAGAGGCTCCTAATGAAACTAAACATTCTATTAATACTTAATGTTCAGAAATCAGTGGTGGCATACACAATCACCTCCCACCACAGGAAAGTTGCTGTTCTTCCAGGGCATGTGGGCTGTGACCTGACAAAAAGCGATAGGGAGTCTGCAAACAAAAGATTTGCTTTGTAAAACCACAGTTACACAAGCTCACTCCAGATGGTGCACTCAGTACAGGTGATTGCAATTCAGAGCCTGTGCTGCACTGGTAGCTGATTTTCATTGGAGTGAGGGGCTGAAATCACAGAGTAGATGAGGTTGAAAGAGACTTCTGGAGAGACCAAGCAGTCCAACACTCCTGCAAGCAGGGTCAGCTACAGCAGTTTGGACTAGCTTGCATTCAGCTGGGGTTTTATATCTCTAAGGAGATCTCCACAGTCTCTGTAGTCACTGTTTCACCTTCCTCACAGATAAAAAAGTTCTTTAGATTTTGAGGTGGAATCTCCTGTGTTCAAGCTGGTGTCCATTGCCTCTTCTCCTGTCACTGGGCACCACTAAGAAAAGTCTGGCTCCTTTTTTGCCCAATCCACATCAGATATTTTTAGATAGAGAGCCACAAACAAGATCCTTTCTCCAGTCTGAAGACTCCAAGATCTTGCAGACTCTTTGTACAATAGATGCTCCAGTCCCTTAATCACATTTGTGGCCCTTCTCTGCTTTCACTCCACCCACATTCCTTTCACACTAAGTCACTCAGATCTGGACTCAGATTCCATGTGTGTCAGACCAGTGAAGCAGAGAAGGGTCACCACCCCAGTTTTCTGGCAACACTCCTCCTCATGCAGGCCAGGCTACTGTTGGCCTTTTTTTCTGCAAGGGTCCACTGCTGGCTCATCCAGCTTGGTGCCATCCAGGACCCTCAGATGCTGCTCTCCAAAGTTGTGCTCCAGGCACAGCCTCTTGTAGTGCTTGGGGTCATTTTTCCTCACATACAGGACTTTGTGTTTGCTTTTGTTGAACATCACAGTGCTCCTGACAGCCTGTTTCTCCAGGCCCTTTAAGTGGCAGCCTAACCATTAGCTGCACAGCATCCTCTCTTTCCGCTCCTGATTCTTTTGCCAGTTTCCCGAGGTTCCAACAGCTTCCTCACTCAGTTGTGGGCTGCCATCTTCCTTCCTGTCTTGTTCCTTTTGAAAGCTGTCCTCCCGAGACTGGCCAGCCTGGGCAAAGACACTTTTGCCTCATACAGTCACACTTGACACCTTTTGGGGCTCTGCTGGCTGTACAGCTGAGGTGAAAGTCTGAAGGCTGGAAAAGCCTCTGTGGGGTCACTGCAACACCCCAGAGCTGAGTGCCCAGCAAGCAGCCTCCTGTAGGGTCACAGCTGCCCTGGGACAGGCACAGCGCTGCAGTGTGCTTGAGGAATTCAAAAGTCAGTGCAGCAACCATAATGTTTTTCACGGTGGTGATTAAAGAAAACTAAGTCCAATCTTATTATTAAGTTTGCATGTTTTGTTTTTATTTTCAGTTTTATTTTCTTTAACTAGACAGAAACTAGCTCAGGCGATAAAGCCAGTAACATCCTGAATCATTAGGGAATCAGAGCAGGCATGGATTTCTAGGTATCAGACTAGCAATATCTGTGATGGCTGGGCATAGTTTCTTAATTAAAAATAATTTTTCAGTAACACATTCAGACTAGAGCATCCAGCTAGAGACACCAAACTTTGTATATACACACTTAAAACATTGATTCATTTGGCCTGACTGGAACTAATAGTTCGTAACATCAGCAGGTTCTGGGTATACTGCATCCTCTCTGCCTTCAGAAAAAAAACAGCAACAGCCTGAGTATGCCAACAGGCCATTGATCTGAGGAAATACACGAAAAGATGCCTTTGATTAGCCCAGTACTTTGGGTTGCCTATTTTAACCAAGCACAGATTGCAACCCGCAGAAAAAAAGTTGTGAAAACTGACAGTAAAACAAAAAATCACAGAGAGAGGAAACAGAGGGGTTTTGCAGAAAACAGCAGCTGGAAGTAAAGCAGTGCCCAAAAACAAAGGCAAGAAATAGAAGAAATGCTGGATGAACAAGAATTACTGTACAGAACAAAAAATAACAGTGTTCCAGAAAACTCAAATGAATCCCCCAGGCTAATGCCAGTACAAGGTATAAAACAAATTATCAGATGCAAGAATTGCAAAGGCAATTGTAGAGTATTTAACAGCACATATTCTTAAAAAAAAAAAAAGAAAAAAATCAAGAGAACAAATGAAAAAGAATTAAAATTACACAAAATAAAAGCACAAAAACTGCTTCTAAATACTTTTTCTGACTTATATAATAAAATCTGAGTGATGAAAAATGTAACATGAGGGGTATAAAATGAGATATATTTGTTTTACACTTATGTATATCTGCAAAATGAGCACATATGACTTTTAACTTTGCTTAAAAGCCCATTGTGCTGATGATTGTATCCCAGGTCCCCTACCCACTGTGGTCGTGCAAAAAATGATGACAGCATTTAATATCAGCTCTGCTGGCTCTGTCATTACTACTGGCATTATGTCTCCAAGGTCTTTATGCATCCCTACAATACTTACATTCCTTTATAACCTTCAAGTACAGTTTTAGACTGCATCATCTGCCAAAATCAGGTTCTGAAGCTCCTTATAGATCTCCTCATATGAGCTCTATGTATGAATGAGCCAGTTAACTCAAAGGTAAAGTGGTATCTTTTAAGGAGAATTACTGTGAGTGGAGATGCATCGCTATTTCTCACTGTCAGCCTGAAAAGAGCTTAGTGTTGGTATCAAGGATACAAATAAGATGCAAAGTGGTTTTCATTGACAGCAAAAAGCTAAACCTGTGTAGCTCACGTTAAAAATGCAAAGCACATTTTAGAGTGCATTGTGTACTTAAAAAAAAAAAGAAAAAAAAAAGAAAAAAAATTCATTTTCCCAGGGCATGTTACACAAATTTAGTCTAGAATAATGCTATATGTCAGAGACAGTCATGCTTTTGCAGCTGAATTTTAATGCTGCCTTTTCTTTCTTCCATCTCACCCTACCAGGGGCCATTCTCTTTTGAAAACTACTTCTCTCTTACAGATTGCTGCTGCTACCTTGTCACACCCCCTCCTGCCTCCATCTGCCACTGCCTCCTCATGGGCCATCACTTCTCCCTGACTTCAGCCTGGGGAAGAGGAAAAAAAACCCAAAGGATCTGTACTTTGCATCCTACCTCTAACAATGCCATACCTCTTCAGACAGAAACAGGGATATGTGCACATCTGAAAGAGTGTCTCTAAATAAAACGAGTCAAACACTGTTCAGGGTTACTCTCTCTGCACAGATGAAGGAGGGTGAAAAAGCAGGATGTCCTTATGGTTCTCCTGTGGATCCCAGATGCCATGGTAGGGAACAAAAAGGCTCCTGCAATTTTCAAAAGCCCTCTGTCACAGCTGGCACCCTGCCAGCCTGTGCCAGACGCTGCTGCTGAGCCCACTGGGGATCAGTGCTGGAGCAGAAAGGCTCAAGGAAACTGAAAATGGAGAAAAGGCCATCAGGGCTGGAGACAAGGAGCGAGACAGGCTCAGTAGAGAAACAGATATTCAGGGTAATGGGTCAGGGGCAAAGTGGAGAAAGGGAAAGAAGGTAAGATCTGGAAGCCCTGCTGTGCACTTTACTTTCTCTCAGTGAAGGCTCCCCAGCCCTTCCATTCATTTCCCATATCTCACTTTTAACTCCTTAAAAGGCTGTTTTACAGAAGCCATAGTGACTTCCTTTTGGGTTGCATTTCGCTGATGAAATTCCTCAAAACTTTTGCTTCCTCCAAATCCCACTTTGCTTTTCAGTCTCTACTCTGTAGCAGCATCACAAGGGAGAAAACTTCGTCTTGTTCCTGAAAGTTTTCATTGACTGAAAACATTGTACATGGAACTATGGAGGAGAACAAAAAAAATAAAAAACACCAGCCAAACACCAACTTTGTTAGAACTGTCCTTTCTCAAAATGCAGCATGAAATTTCCTGGAGAAAACTATCCCTCACATACTCCACTTTATATACAAAACTACCAGCTCACTGGACTGCTGTCCAGACTGGGCTCTGAAAATGTGTTCTGAAAACACTTATGTTCCCTGGAAAACACATGAAAACTTAAAAAGAAAGCAAGGTAATAATCCTAATATACTTATTACACCTTCTGATTAAATCTTTAAATTATTCAGACCAAAATTTATTTGCAAGTAACTAAAAAGGCATTCAAATCCAGAGTTGTAGCACACTGTGCTCTTGCTCCCTTCTTCAAGTTTTATCCCTGCTTATATATAGCCAGTCCCCTGCTGCTGCAGAGGCACAGCAGGCTCACAGCTCACATCCCTGCTCCCATGGAGAAGGCTGCCCTGGAACACGGCGTACTCCCAGAGGCATTACGATAATCTCATCTAAGGCACGGGGCACTGGGGCCGTGCTCTGCACCAGGGAAGAATTTCCATAGCAAGGCAGAGGGAGCAGCAGGCATTCTGTCACCCTGAAAAGGCAAGGCTGTCCTGTTCTCACAGCCACTACTTGCAGCTATCTCCTCCTTCCCCTTTTAATTTGCTACGTGTGTGCAACCACAGTGGCAAAATATGTTCTTCCTCACATTTCCAACCAGAATTAGAGGCAGAGGTACAGCCATCCTGTTCTCTCCATCCCAGCTGCCCACCTCCAGCAGAGATGGGGGAGCACCCTGCTGGATGGGACTACCATGAGTAGGTAGGCTCAGTTTCCAAAGATTTGCTTCTAAACAACTGTGCCATTTACCATTTACCGCTCTCTCTGCTGAGGCAGCAGAACATGGGATATGCACTTCTTACATAGAGGCCCGAGCTCACTGCTGGCATACAATAAATCAAACTGAACAAGCACCAAGGCATCAAATTGTAAATTGAACCAGCTGAGCCGGGGCACCTTTTTGTACTCCTAACAAACCTCTCTTCTGGAAGCAGCCCTATAGACAGAGAAAACTAAACTCTTGAAACAGAACACCAGAATCAAAACAACACACACAAGAAAAATGTAAAAATTACAGCTCAACATTCATCGTTGTCTATTCCCGTTGCAAAATAGGTCCAGGATGGCTGCAGTAGAAGAAGAGACAAATTGCAAGAGAAATATGAGGACACATGCTTCACCCTCAAGACTATTTTCTCATTAGGACATAATATTTCAATTCCATTTAAGATCCTTCGTGTTTTTATGGCACCAGATTGTTTGATTAATCTGGAATTAGTCTAAACTAACTTCCTCTGAAATACTCTTCAATTTAATGTTTTACCTCTTGATTAAACACTGTTTAGTAAAGAACTTGATACATGGCATCATTGAGCATGCTGTACTAGAAATCAGGTTAAAATAATTAAGAAGGTTTTTTTATTATGTCAGTTTCAGAAAACTTGAAAGGATCCCAAAGTCAAAAATTTAAAGTACTACAGAGATTGTTGAGTTGGCTTGCTCTTGTCCACCAAATGCAAAATAAAGCACCTGTATAGAAATCATGTTTTTCTGGCTGTGCAACCCCAGAAAACTTCTCCTTCACGTTTCCCCTCTTGTTCTGGATGTTATGCTTTGCTCTTTGAGGAGACACCTTTGTATCAGATCCTGGATGGACTAATTGTTTCCTGCTGGAAGGGATATGTTAAATTTATGCCCCAAGACTAGGCTGGCAGTGAGCAAAGAGGAGGCTCCTGAAGCCCACCCTCTGACCCACTGCTGGAGAACAGCGCAGATCACTCACAGGCAGAAGTCAGGACAAACAAAGGGCTGTTTGTACAGCATCTCCCATCAGCCCTCCCTCCCTCTGCTCATCCCCGCTAGCTCTGGCTCTCTCTGGGTACATCTAAAAAGATACAGCTGCCAAGAAAGTGGAAGGGAGTGAACGAGGGGATAAAGGTATGTTTTGCTCCTGAAATTATCCTTGTCTACCTGTTCCTTCTAATTACATAGTACAGAATTAGAAATACATATGGGAACATGCAGAAGAAGATTGGGAGAAGCTGTTATATTGCAGGCAAGAGGTACCATTCAAGAGAGTTGCATGGCTGGGATCCAGATCAAAATAATTCTTTTACTATCTTGCTTTTCTTCGAAGTTGGGTATTACATATGAACAGCTGAAGTCACTAAATATACTATATTGCCTTCCAGTGCTCAATATAATATGGAGAGAGGTGTCTTCCCAATGAATTGCTGTCTTAAAGAAAACTAATTGGGGTTTCATGAGAACTCAGTTTCTGGAAAGAATCATGGTATTGATGACAATTACAAAGCAGTAATTCATAGAATTTGTCCTCAGCGGAATAGCTACTGTCCTTACAGTGCACCAACTGTTCAAGCAAAATAGATTTAACAATTTTTTTTAATGGAAAAAAAAATTCTTCAAAATATTATCAGTTATGCAGCTCTCGTGCAATGATTTTTTAGTAATGTAGTAAAAAAAAAGCTATCAAGCATTAACACACCTAAATGCTAAATACTCAGCATCTTACAGGTGTTTGTGCAAGGCAAACTTTACAAATAAATAAACACTAAAATATATTTCATTTTGAATAAGTGAAACAATTTTAATATATATATTCTTTTTAAATGCAACTTGTTAACCTGGCACATGCCACTGGACAAACTGGAAAAGAACACACACCAAAAGTGTACCACTTAATGTATTTCTTGTTTTCAACAGTAGGCAACTAGAAATACAGCCTACTTAAGGGGAAAAGAAGGATATATTTAATGAAGGATTGGTATTTTTAATGGCTGATAGACCAACCTAAAAATATTTCTATTTCCCCAGCCATGCAGGATCTCTAGAAGTGCTGGAATACACATTTTGTGCCATTTCTCAGTTTTCTCTGTTTCTGATACCTGATCTCCTACTGATACTGTGTGACCTTTAAAGGACATCACTTCTCATGAACTATTACCCTGCTGTTCTTGGACAAGGAGGCTGAGACCTGGGGTTTTCTCTTCAGTCTGATTACCTTTGCATCTAGCGGATCTGAAGACTAGATGGTGCCAAATTGCCTGCCAAGATAATTCAAACACTCTCAGCTGAACAAGCAGAGACAGCACTAATTCCTAACCCATTATGCATATTCCCAATCCAACAATTTTCCTTTACGAAAAGCTCCAAACTATTTCAAAACACTTGTATTCCCAGGTGTACTTGGTGTTAAACCTTACTTACCCCACGTCAAAATAATCAAAATAATTAACTGAAAAGAACTTATGCAAATGCAATGAGCTAATTTTCACTATTTTTAGATGGCTTTACTCCTTCTAGAATCTGAAATGATAAAATCTTGATAGAGCAAGCTGGTCAGGCTTAGCATGCCTGGCATTGCTATCTTTTCAGAAGGCTTTATAAAATAAAGAACTGTCAGAGGATGCTTGCTGGCAATGAATGAGTCTTTGAGCCACATTAGCGATTGGATTTGCTCATTGCATTTTCTGACTTGTTTTATGAGAAAAGCTTATCTTCTGTGCCATGCAACAGCAGACAATGCCTTTGACACCCATTTTGAAATAAACATGCACATACTAGCTCTGTTCTTTACCCAGGCAATCAGTGACACTCCAACACCTGTTCAACCGTGCTCAGGAAAAAAGTTGCAGCAGTTTGTCAGACAGAGATGCTGCATCTGAAAGGTCTGCATCGATCCAGTGCAGAGAGCCGATGAAACACTTCAGCTCCTTGGCAATCTTTCAGCTGCAAATAGGGACTGTTCTCCCCCAGGAAAGAAACACCCGTTTGAAGAAAGGTCTTTGACAAAAAAGTTTCTGTTTGGTTATGATCTGGAAAAAAACCCAAACAACCCAGAGGAAATGTTTAAGCAGAAACAAAATTATAATTTTTTTTCCAAATAATAACAATGTTTATCATTGGTAAGATGCATAACTGGTCAGATGTGCTGCCTATCCATAGCTCTCCAGCATGTTGACTTTGGTAATATCGATTTTGGCACCCACCCATAGCAACCCTCCTGATGACACACTACAGCAATATCCTTTTATTTTTATTAAATGGCAAGTAGTGTGTCACCTTAAAAACTGTAGGTCATGATTTTTGAATCTAGCAATTTGACAGTGTATAGAGAATGCACTATTTTCAGGATGAATGTGCCTATTTTTCAGGAAGTGAATTCCTACAAATTTTGAGGAGGTAGGCAGCTGGCAACAGAGAATCAAATTAGCATTACAGTTGAACCCCAGGAAGGGAAAGATCACCTAAATTATGAGAAATTTAAAAAAAGTTCACAAGAGCAAGGTATCATGAATGCCTCATCCTCAGTAGAAGAGCACAGAATAATCCAGTCACAGGAAACAAAGGTATAAACCCCCTGCTTATTAATTTTCTCTTTCATGGAAATTTTCTTCCATTAAATACTTAAATAATTAAGACAAACTTTGAACAGAAGATTAAACTGTACTCCCTGACACTGGCATTTATCTAGGTATATTATCAACAAATTTCTTCTCTTTAAGCATTAGACTTCTCTGAGCAGAACCCTCATAACTAAGTGTTTATACTCCTACAAAATAAAACCATGAATATAATAATACAGATTCTACACTCAAGTCTAAAAAACACTAGGCAATGTTTATTTGAGTAGTAGTTTTGAGGTCTAAAACTAATAAAGACAATATGTTATTCAATACTGCACTCTGAGGTAATTAAAAATAGATCCCCAAGGCTCCATTACTGGTAGTTTATAGGAGTCTTCTACTTAAAAGTTCCTATACAAGTTCATGGAAACTAAAATGAATTATTCAATGAATTTTGCTTCGACAACAGAAGCCAAAAATATACAGAAGAGCTTATTTTCACTTCACTCATGCTCTTTAATATATTGGCTACTTTTTGATGTTTTATTTTGCTACTGATGTTCCAAAAAACCCAAGTTTAAATATAAAAATAAATAACTAAAAAGCTTTGAGATGTTGTATTTTATCCCTAATATGAATCTAAATTTCCAGATTTTCTTACATGGCATTTTATTCATTGGCTGAAGAAATGCAAGATAAGATAGCTATAGTGGTAGAGAAAACTACCTGAGAAAAATGACTAAAAATACTATATATATTTAAAATTTTACTCTTTGGTTTTCAAGGGTAATGTCAAGATTTTTACAAAGTAATTCACATTATAGTCATATCTACTGGCATACCTCATTTTTTTTCCTTATCTAGATAATAGCTCTACCATCTTAACTTCACCTTTGATAGTCTTTCATTAGATATTGTCTTACATCTTGTTTTTATTGGGTTAGCCCATTCTAATCTTCAGCCCCACAACAAAGACCAGGGCTGGCCCATAATGTCATGTCAAGGCATCAATTCCAGCGTGCCAGCAAGATGAAGGACAGCAAAGTCTTCCTTAAGTCTTACACGAGAATGAGTACACAGGGACAGTGCTGGGCAGAGCTGGTCATTCTTTATTCTCATTTTCAGAGCAGAATTCCTATTTAAATTCAGTTAACATAACAGATCCATTTTGTTTGAGCATGGGGAAAGGTAAAAAACCCACTTCCCTAATAACAATAAAAACTCAGCTGAAACATTGTTCAAAAGCCTAATTTAAAAGTGAATGTAAGTTCAAGGATCCAAAGCTTTGTGGCATGGTCAGATTGTGCAAAGTGGCACAGAACAGCAGAGCTCAACAATGGAAAGCCTAGTGGCCAGCAGGATTTTGCAAGGGATAATTTATCCCACCTTTTAAAAAGCCAGTTAAACCATAATGACCTCCAGGAGCAAGACTCAACTAAGCAGTCTGCAGTACTGGAAAACCCAAGAAAGAAGATTCTCCCTAATGCTGTATCATCCCAGAGCCCAGGACGTGGCAGCAGTGCAGACAGCTTCAGCTTCCTAGGCTGCTTAATGCCTCAGCTTCTCACACAGCCCATGACATGGGATTCAATCAGCAAGCAGATTTCCCACAACTTTGATGGGGAAGGATACTATATATTTTATGTGAGTGTCTCTTGTTTTGACAGGCAAAGTAGCCAGGGAGGCAAGGACACACACACCCAGACATTTCCCCCTGGTTTTGCAGCAATCAATACAATCACTTACATCACCAAAAAAGCACGGCCAGCTCAAAGCAATTTTCTCAAGGTGAGAGGCCAAAGAAACAACAAAATTGCCAGCATCAGAAGCCTCAATTCTCAATGAAAGGATTCCCAAGGTTGTACAGAAAGTAATGAATATCACTATTGCTGCAATATTATTTACCTCCTGGGAGAAAACACTCTCCAGCACTCAGGCTCAAATGACCAAAACTTCAGAGGAAAGAAAAATGCAAGGCAGAAAGCAAATCAGGGTAAGAGCTTTGTTCAGCAGCAATACCTGTGTCATGTACCTCGTTTCTCTTTAGCACCCTGCTGTGGGAAGCTTGGCAGAAATGAGGATGGTCTCTGTGCTGCTGCTGCTGCTGAGCACCCTCCTGGGTACCCCCGCGGCACCTTCCCAGCGCCCTTCTTGTTACAAGAGAGCCCTCCAGGACCACAGCTGTCACACCATCCCCGAAGGCAAGGAGAACCTCCGACACGTTGATGATGGTCTGCAAGATCACTTTTGGGAAGGGAAGGGCTGTGAGGTGATCTGTTACTGCAACCTGAATGAATTGCTCTGCTGCCCAAAGTAAGATCACACTCATTTCATGTAAACTCGTACAGTTCTTCACAACTGCCCATTATATTTCCATTGTTTTGCAGTTTCCACACACAGAAAAAGCTATCATTTTAAAGCAATTCCTCACTTCAGATGGTTTGAAATT